TTCAATCACGTAAGACCCCAAATGGCGTTGACCGGGCGAGGGTGTTACGTATATCTGTACAAGCTTTACTGGCAACCCAGGCTTGTTGATATTTGTCTTTACCGTAGAGCCACCAAGGTGTTGCCTGAGAGAGTTTAAGCACGCCGACATTGCAAAGGGTTATTAGATTCATAAGTCAGCGAAGTGGTGGGCGATCTACTGAGCAGAGCAGAAGTTCTCATATGATGACTTCAAACAAGACACATTACCTACCAGCATCTGTTGGAGTGAGTGGATATTAAGACACTTCTATCTCTAGGACAGCGTAGGGGAAAATGGTAAGTAGCAATGGAAACACACAGCATATAAAGGATGATTACCAGTAAATAGTCGTGCTTGCTATTTAGTCTGGCAACGCATTGCTGGAAGGGTTGGACTCAGTGGCTACTTGAGAAACTCAGTATCGAGACCCATGTCTGCTGAGGCTGATGTTGACAAAGCCTGTGTGGAAAGACAGATTGTGTGGCATTTCTTTGGCTCAGGATATGCCGGTAGAGTGAGAGAGGTAAGGCAATATTACATTGTGTCTGCGCGCAATGTGTGGATGTGATGTAGGCTGGATAGTCTTGGAGGGCTGTGCGTGTGTGTGTGTATGTGTGTGAGTGTTGGCAGTGAGGGCTTTATATTTTATGCATGTATGTATGTATGTCCTTTTTCTGCGGTGCTCGTGTTTATTAAGAAAAAAAGCAACATGTGCCACTTGACACTTGCCATAAGCGTGACATTAAGAACAATGGGGCTCAGTATAAGCGCTGTTGTCATTTGGCGTGAGAGTGGAGCCGTTTTTTTTTTTGCGGCGGTTGTACACTGAATTGAACCGGCGTTTGTGATATAGGTGCTGTTATCTGGAAGGAAATGTCCGACCAACATGTGATCAAATATTAACAGGACTGGTTTGGCAAGGGGGGGGGGGGGGTGTTGGGGATACACGTGACAAGACGCGGGGAAGCAGCAGAGTAAAAAAAGAAAAGCAGTTTAAAGTGGGAGCTCAAACAAAAGTATATAGATATTGTGTCGGCCCCTCATAGTTACCCTGGCTGTGTTATGCTTTCAGCACGTTGGACAGAGGCACCGGAGTCGTGCATGGACTAAACCGCCGAGTGGACGCCAACTCTCTTTCTCTCTTTCCCCAGCCCCCCTTTGCCAAACCTGGGATTGTTTTTTCAACTTTTGGTAAGCTTATTCTGAGGGAGCCTGTGGTCTGTAAACGGAAAATAAACGGGATTCTAAAGAGAGGAGAAAATAAAGAAAATTTTAAAAAAACTACTGGGGGAAAAAAGCGCTTGCCATTAAAAGAGCTTGTGCTTTAAGATGTGTTTTTGTAGAGCATTGTGAAAGTTGAAATGTTAGGTCGTCTGGTCTTTTGCACACCACATTGTCGGTACCTATAAGCCCCCCCACACTGCGTTAAACTTTGGGACATGCAAGTCTTGGTCGCGGAGATCTAACCACGCACATAGTGGTTGTCAGCCCTTGTAAAGGTAAGAGCACAATCCATTGTTTTCATGTCACTCTTTTGTTGCTGTCGTCTTTACGGGCTTCTTATGGCATTTCTTAAATGAACTTCGGCTTTAAAACTACAGCATGCAGCCTTCGCCTTGGCAGTGTGTTAATTGTGGGCATCAGTGACCGAAATAACTCCGATATGAAATCCGATCCAGGTGACCAATATCTCGTAGACCATCTTCCTTTTTTCAAATTGAAGTTAGGCTATATTTATAGATCTGTGCGTGCGCATTCTCATATGAGCTTTGAGTCATGTCAAGCGTTTAATTTGTGACTCGTTTTCGTGCTTGACATTTTTTGAAACAGAGCTTTTTGAAGCCGTTTTTTTTGTTGGAGTTTTCGAACGCTGCCTGCTGCAACATAATTTGCGTAATCGTTGCGTTGTGCCTAATCATGCTGCCAATATGGGACTTAAGACGCTGCAGTGATCCTTCCAGCCGGCACGAACTGGAGTAGGTTACTGATGCATGGTGCACATCATACAATTGTCAGGAAAAAGCTCTATCTATCTATCTATCTATCTATCTATCTATCTATCTATCTATCTATCTATCTATCTATCTATCTATCTGTGCTTATTTTTCATGTTTGGTCTGCTGCATTCATGTTTTGTCTTGATGTCAAACCCTCTGGATTTTGTTATCGACCAAAAATAGCCCTACTCTTTACCCCTCC